GTTTCAGCTATGGGTGCCAAAAAAGAAAAAAAAAATCAACTGTTTCCTTATTTGGCCATTTTAGGGCATAAAATCTCTATTTTCCTCCTTTGCCTCAGGGGTTCATGATCTTGAGCTGAGGGTTCAAGGTTAAAAAGTTTTTGGCTGGTGACGGTGGCTCACGCCTGTAATCCCAGCACTTTGGGAGGCCGAGGCAGGTGGATCACAAGGTAAGGAGTTTGAGACCAGCCTGGTCAATATGGTGAAACCCTGTCTCTACTACAAATACAAAAATTAGTTGGGCATCGTGGTGCACGCTTGTAGTCCCAGCTACTCGGGAGGCTGAGGCAGAAGATTCGCTTGAACCCGGAAGGCGGAGGTTGCAGTGAGCTGAGATCGTGCCAGTGCACTCCAGCCTGGGCGACAGAGTGAGACTCTGTCGCAAAAATAAATAAATAAATAAAAATTAAAAAAAGTTTCTATTCTGTTAACAGCTATGACAACTATGACAACTTTATTAGTGACATCTGGGAGCACTATTTACAATCATTTCCCAAGCCTATATGAATGATTCCTCAGTTTTACATCTATTAGTTTCAATGACTTGACATGATCTAAATAATACTTTGAAGAGATAGACAAATAATTATAAATCCTAAGAAGAGACTCTGAAGGGTCCTATGATAAAGTCCCTGATTTTAAGATGATTATCTCAAGCAAATTAAAATCTCAGCTTGCTTTTCTTTAAGATCCCCAGGGAATGAAACACCTTATCTTCCCTAAATATATCTTGCTATAAAACTGTTGATCATGGCAGAAAAGTGCTTGGTCAGCATAAGTTTTCCCATTAATTTTATGTGTGTCTAACTTTCTAAAATTAGCATCCTTTTCTACTGAATGGAATGATCCTAATCTGGACTGAAAAGCAACCATGGGCAATTATCATTTTGAATAAATGGAGGAAAGTCAATAGTTATTTCTTTTTCCATGGAAATGGAAATACTGAGGCCATGGTACACTGACTGCTGTAAAATATATATCATTAGATTCTCTAAATTCATAAGATAAAAAGGATTTAACAATCATGATTCAACAGTCAACTTTCTCAGACTAAATGCTTTTGTGCCCATGAATTGGAAGTATGCATGATGGTCTTTGCCTGTACATGTTGCTATTTATTTATCCCAAGTCTTCCTATGTCATTAGTGTTTTATGATTTGTCCTTTTTTTTTAAATAGCTTTTTAGTATCTAATCCCTTCTATTACATCTTTGTGTCAGGTTGGAAATCAGAGCTAAAAATAAAGCCAGGGAAATCAAATAGTGATGCTTATAACAATTTATTGAGCAGCTACTTGCATAGGCTAGGCACTATGCAAGATTTTCAGAATGACAACAATGAATAAGACGCAGGCTGTGCTCTATAGGATCTCACAATCTACAGAAGATGGGAGACTGTGAAGGTAGATGGGAGACTATGAAGGCTCCATTCTACCAAAAGGAGCTGTATGTGGGAGAGGCTGATATAGAGTGCAGCAAGAGCACGGAGTATGAGGTGAATGTGGGCCCAGGAGGATACCAGGGGATGAGTTGGCGGGATGGGAGTTCTGATAAGATTACAGAGAACAGATGATTTTTAATCTGAGACTTAGAAGAAATGTAGGTTTTGGCCAGGAAGTTAGAGTGAGAAGAGAATGAAATTTTAGCAAATGTCAGAAAGAGACAAAACCACATCCAGTAGGGTATATCATTTAAGGGAAACTGCAAGTAGCTTGAAATGGGTGGGACATAAGATCTACATGGTGTTATGTTAGGAGAAGAAGATATAAAATCAGATGAAAAATATGAAAGGTAGTTAGCAATGAAATAAGGAAGATATTGGGTTCCATCAAGATAACAGGTTTCTATGTTACGCTAGGAACCTATTGTATCTAACCACCAACAGTAAACTTTGCTGACTTTGAGACCAATGCCAGGCAAACATTTGCGACCCAACTCTTTCTAATCTGAAAAGAGAGCTCAAAATTCTTCCCTGAATGTAAGTGTCTAAGAAGTCTTAGAATGGTGGACAGCTCTCCTGTTCAGACCTACTTGTTTACAAGAACTATCCCAGTCCCTGAACAACTAATTCCAATGTAGAAAAGTCTCTTTGCTGAAAAAAGGGAAGTCTTTAGCTTGAATAGGAAAATGGGTGAGATAAACATGACAAGCCAACACCAAGAAACCAGTTTCACTCAAATTTGTTCTGTTCCCTCAAAGTTATTTTTTTGACTTCATTATTATCTTTATTGACAAAGTAACTTTTCATTAACATGCATGACAAATATTTCAGTGACACAGCCAACTGTGTCAAGTCATTTCATAAAATGAAGAAGCAGGGATATAGATTGTGTTGTTTTCTCCACACGAATTATTCCTTAGAGGGAAGTCCCTCTAAAAGGCAGGGAAAGCTTTAAACATGTTTACTTGAGAGCACCTGAAAAATGACGTCATTACAGTCTAAAGTGAACTAATCATCAATTTGGCATTTGTGTTTTGGAAGGCCTTTCCTTTGACTGAGGCAGTAGAAAGTTTGTGTGATTGGGCTGAACAGATTATAGCACCCACAGAAGGAAATAAGATGTTCTTGATATACAGTCATGTGTTGCATAATGACACTTTGGTCAATGACAGACCACAAATACAATGGTAGTCCCATAAGGTAACAATACAGCTGAAAAAATCCTATCACCTAGTGACATCTTGATGATCCTGACACTGTGCAGGCCTAGTTTAATGAGTGTGTTTGTGTTTTCATTTTTAAGAAAACAATTTAAAAAAATAAAAAGATAAAAAATTTTAAGAACAGAAAAAAGCTCATAGAATCAGCAAATGAAGAAAATATTTGTGTATAACTGCATAATGTGCTTATGTTTTAAGCTAAGTGTTATTGTAAAATAGCCAAAAAGTTTAAAAAAATTAAAAAGTTTACAAAGTAAAAAAGTTACAGTCAGCTAAGGTTAATTTAGTTCTGAATAAAATTTTAAAAATAAATGTAGTATAGCCTAATTATATAGTGTTTATAAAGTTTACAGTAGTATACAAAAATATTCTAGCACTCACTCAGTGACTCACCCAGAGCAACTTTCAGTCTTGCAAGCACCATTCATGGTAAGTGCCCTATTAATGTGTACTATTTGTATCTTTTATACAATGTTTTTACTGTGTGTTTTCTATGTTTAGATACACAAATACTTACCATTGTGTTACAATTGCCTACAGTATTCACTACCACATAGTAACATGCTATACAGGTTTGTAGCCCACAAGCAATAGGCTATACCATATAGCCTAGGTGTGTAGTAGGTTATACCATCTAGGTTTGTATAAGTACACTCTATGATGTTTGTGACAAAATCACCTAATGATTCATTTCTGAGGATACAGTATCCCCATCGTTAAGTGATGCATGACAGTATGTGTAACCTGTCCAGGGGAATCTTCACTTCCTTTTCAAGTTACATGGTTTGGACCCAGAACTATTAGTCTTTGAGAGTATATTTCACTCCTTCCTAATTCAAGAACTCCCTGGATGAAGTTCTACTATGACCTTTAACATCCAGTGTTTCTAATCTCTCTCATGGGACAGTTATGGGCCCAATGATGGAAATTTTCATGTCATGGTTATCCCAATGCATTTGATGATGGTGCAATGATCAAAAAAGATGCCAGTGATGACAATTGAACGTCCCTTTGCCTTCCCAGCCTCCTTCATATATTCTCAGGCATAGGATGACAAAGGGAAGTCCACGAGTCACATGAAGAAAGACTGTAGCCATGGGTACACGATCAGGAGGTCCTCTGCTTGCCTCCATCCCCACACTCCTCTCCATCACCCTATCCTATGGGTACACGATCAGGAGGTCCTCTGCTTGCCTCTACCCCCACCCTCCTCTCCATCACCCTATCCTATGGGTACACGATCAGGAGGTCCTCTGCTTGCCTCAATCCCCACACTCCTCTCCATCACCCTGTCCTATGGGTACACGATCAGGAGGTCCTCTGCTTGCCTCCATCCCCACACTCCTCTCCATCACCCTGTCCTATGGGTACACGATCAGGAGGTCCTCTGCTTGCCTCCATCCCCACGCTCCTCTCCATCACCCTATCCTATGGGTACACGATCAGGAGGTCCTCTGCTTGCCTCTACCACCACCCTCCTCTCCATCACCCTGACCTATGGGTTCACGATCAGGAGGTCCTCTGCTTGCCTCCATCCCCACACTCCTCTCCATCACCCTGTCCTATGGGTACATGATCAGGAGGTCCTCTGCTTGCCTCCATCCCCACGCTCCTCTCCATCACCTTGTGTATTTCTTCCTAATGTTGTTTCTCCACCATCTTGCAACTAACCACCATCTTCTTCCCAAAGTTTTGCTTGATGACCCATTCCAACTGAATCAATGCTCAACCTGTATTTGGCACAGAGTTGGTGCTCAGAACAGTTGCTGAATGAAATAATGACCCTCAAACTCTCCAAGGTAACAAAACTTTAGGGGAGCCTTTCTTTTTAATGAGATAATGCTTCCATGTATAGGATGAAAGGAGAAAGTGTTTTGGAATTATGTCAGCCTAGGTTTGCACCCAGATGTCCCACTAATCGGATTTAAGGCAAGGGCTTAACCTCTTGGAGGTGCCATTTATTCAACTGTATAAAAGGAAGATAATAATCCCTATCTTGAAGGGTTTTTGTGAGTATTAAAAGAGATAGTATATATGAAAATGCCTAGTATAGTACTTGGAACCTAAATAAATGCTTATTCCCTCCTAGTAGTGCTGCCAAGCTGTCCTATATGGTATCTTTAGGATGATAAATAATAGGGAGTAACTAATTTCTGATGTGGTTGAATGTCAGAAGAGATAGAGATAAAACAACAGTCGTAGGGAGTGATATTGTTAGGAAATTATAAAGGAAATGAAGACCTCTGTAGTTAATTTCTTGGAGTTTAAGAAGAAATTCACATTTTCCGTTAATTATACTTACCAACTGAGTCTAATTGGGAACTATCCCAAAATGAATAAAACAAGCGGGAGTCAAGAGAGAAAAACGGCAGGCATCCTGTCAAAAAATAAAATCTTTGAAATTTCTACACCCTATGGTTGCATACACATTTTATTAAAGCAGATGGATTACCCAATTTATATAAATTTATATATGTGATGGCAACTCAAGTTGCACAGTGAAACCTATGTAGAGCATCACCCAGCCCTTCTACACCAGTTATATCTTGTCTCATCACTCCTTCAACTGGACAGGTCCTTAAAAACCATAGCCCTTTGCTGGAGGAAGTATCATTCTTTATTCTTTTCCAACCTAGATAGCTGCTGTGGTGGGGAAAGGGTCAAATGAGTTAATATCTGTTAAGTGCTTGTACTGATGCTTAGAACTTAGTAAAACCTCAAGAAATCTTAGTTGTTGTTACATTAATTATAATGATAATTATGAATCTTCCAATTCTGTGTTTTCCAGGAGAGGATAGGAATTGAATTCTTTCCTTCCCTGATTTTAATAACATTTTCCAGATTTCCGGAGAAATAAGTGTTCCAGTTTCAAGTGTTTACCTACTTTTGACTTAAAAGAACTATCCATTTAGAGGCTAATCTACCCAGTTTCTTTTCTTTTCTTTTTAAAAGAGGAATTGAAGCAAAGCTAACATGTTACTCAACATGCATAATAGTATCTATTGGACTGATTCCTCTTTCTCTCTCTGGCGAAGGTATAGATATAAATTATATCTACGTCTATGACGATATCTACATATGTTCCAAAAAAGTCATCGAAACCATTTCAGTATAATTGGCAGGTTTCCTACCAATTTGGTTATTCTTTCCCAAACTGGGAGATAAATTTAATGGTAATATCATATTTCTGGAGTTGCTAAGCAAGCTAGCCTTTGGTCAGATGCCCTCAGAGGACCCCATGAGTTTGAACAGCTCTGCTCTGCCTTCATTTTGTTCCTTCCTTAGAAACAGCATTAAGGGAAGACCTCAAATCCTCAAGTTAGGTCTCTAGACCCTAGCTTCCTAGGATCAAGCTAGACTTCAAGAGCAACTTCACTTGTGGCAAATATTGGGAGGTAGGAGTTTGGCAGCTGGTAGCTGGCTGGTAAGAGGCATGTAGGAACTCACCCACTTTTCATGAAACGTCAACATCACTTGGTTGTATGTCAGCGCCCATACCCTGGCAAAGTGGCCTTCTCATAAGAATGTACTCACTGGAGAAAACGCAAAGCAATATCCCTTGAAGCACAGACTCTAAGGGTTGGTTCCTCTGGATTCTCAATAGTTTGTAAAATGGCCAACCAAGAGCAACTACTGTACATTTTCTAGAAAGTTCCTAATTAGTGTGTTTCTGAGTACATAAATTCAGCTTTTAAGCACATACTCCCCAGGCCATTCTACCACTGTGTATGGCAATTAGACCGCTGGCTTAATACTATCAGCAAAGCTTCAAATAGACAACACCACAAACCCTCCAGGAAATTTAGCATAAGCACTTGTTTATGGAACCAAGCACAACATTGGCTTAGCTATGTCTTTCCTGCAGAGTGAATAGCATGCTGGTATTTTCAGCTTATTTTCCCCAATTATCAAACCCTAATGAACAAAAAATTAAGTAACACTTTAGTGAAGGTCAAGCAGGGTGAGATTAGTGGTAATATGGTTAAAAATGGAAATCTCTGGATAGCAGGTATGTGTTATGTCCCAAATTGTCTCAATATTTTCTTAATTACCCTCAGGACACAATAGAAAAAAAAATGGTCTTAAGGGGGAAAATTAGGAATAAAATGTAAAACTAAGGTAGTGACACAAGGCTGGGCAAAGAAGAGCAGACTAGGAGTGTAGAGTTCAGGTTCAGATAAAAGCTCTACCAAGGTAATCCACATACTGAATTTAGTCAGAACATGTGACTGTGATTTTTTACAAGTGGGTTTCCTATCTGCAAGATGAAAGCAATGAGCTAAGTGATGCTCATTGTCTGAATTCCTGTAGCACTTTGTATTACTAAAGGGCACTTAGCGTCTACTGCTTTGCCCTATTCACAATAGCAAATATGTGGAATCAACCCAGGTGCTCATCGGTGGTGGATTGGATAAAGAAAAAGTGATACATATACACCATGGAATACTATGCAGCCATAAAAAAGAATAAAATCATCACGTCCTTTGTAGCAACACGGATATAGTTGAAGTTAGAGTCATTATCTTAGTCAAATTAACATAAAAATGGAAAACCAAATATCACAAGTTCTCACTTATAAGTGGGAGCAAAATCTTGGGTGCACACAAACATAAAGACAGAAATAATAGACACTAGGGACTCCAAAAGGAGGCAAGGGCTGAAAATCTTCCTATGGAGCACTGTGTTCATTATCTGGGGTGATGGGATCAATAGAAGCCCAAACGTCAGCATCATGCAATATACCCTTGTAACAAACTTGTACATGCACCTCTTGAATCTAAAATAAAAATTAGAAAAAAAAAAGCACTTGCTGCTTTATAACGCAGCTCTTTGCATACAGAGAGGCTGTAGAGCACAGTGGCTGAGGCATGGGCTAAATGCATACTTCTTGAGTCTGCTATTTACTAGCGGTCAGACCTTGTGCCTCTTTGTGCTTCATTTTCTCGCTGGTAAATGGGAGTAATAAAGGTATCCCCTTAAGAGTTATCATAAGGACCAAATCAGTTATTTTTTGTACATTGTTTAGAATAGCACTCAATCAACACTAGTTATTATTAACTTATTTGTAAGACTAAGCTCTTCAAGTATACAGGTATACCTTATTTATCTTGCTGCCCCTACAGTGCCCTGAGCATTACAGATGCACAAGCAAATACAGTAGAGAAAGCGCTTAATAAAAAGTACTGTCGGCCGGGCGTGGTGGCTCACGCCTGTAATCCCAACATTTTGGGAGGCCGAGATGGACGGATCACGAGGTCAGGAGATCGAGACCATCCTGGCTAATACGGTGAAACTCCGTCTCTACTAAAAATACAAAAAATTAGCCGGGCGTGGTGGTGTGCGCCTGTGGTCCCCGCTACTCGGGAGGCTGAGGCAGGAGAATGACGTGAACCCGGGAGGCGGAGCTTGCAGTGAGTGAGGATCCTGTCACTGCACCCCAGCCTGGGTGGCAGAGCGAGACTCCGTCTCAAAAAAAAAAAAAAAAAAAAAAAAGTACTGTCAAGAGAAAATATAACAGAGAATAGTCACAATTTATTTTAAATGACAGATATTTTGAGTTCTTGTTTTTGCCATGTCTTAAAAGGCTGAAGAACTTTGACATGTATTTAGTTTCCACATGAGGTGTCTTAGAAGTACAGTGGGGTGGACTACAGAGAGAAGTACATTTTTCGTGGAGACCACACAGACAATATTGATCGTGAAACCAGTGGTGAATAAGCTGCATCTTAACGGGTGGTAGGACACTGGGGGAAGGGAGCTGGACTTTGGGGTGCCTAGGAACATGATGAAAGAGCATGATGGACAATTTTAGCTCCACTAGATTGTTCTCATGATGTGGATGTAAACATGGGACATTCTCAGTATCTCCAATATAATAGGATATCTGATTATAGCTAAGAATTGGGAATACACCTAGGCTTTTAGTCATTCGCCAACCCTAAAGGTGGAAGGTAATTTTGATTCTGATTTCAGCCATTATAAAATGTAAGCATCAAATCTGTTACGTTGGTCTTATCAGTTTTATACACATCCTTTATATGTGATTTGAGAATATTGTTCTCTCCAATGTCCTTAACCAGCCTCTCTTACGTTTCCTGACTTGACTCTTTCCTTTTGTTTTAAAAGGAGTAGAGGATTGCCAGAAGTGAGCAAGAGAAAAGAAGGTATGTCAAACACAGCTGTGGGGGCACTTGACCTATAGGTCAAGAATGATATTCGTACCTTTGAGGGATAAATGCCCAGGCCCTGTGAATAGACTGCTTTCAAAGGTTTTCTTCCCTTCCCTCTCTCCCTTCCTCCTTCCCTTCCTCTTTCCCTTCCCCTCCCTTCCTTTCTTTTCTTTTTTTGTTATAAAAGCAGTATTTTCTCATTGTAAAAAACATCATCAAGCTATTTTTAAAGGTATAAAGTGAAAAGTGTCACTCCCTGTATTTTTTCCCCTACCTCAAGTCTCACCCCCTGGAAACTGTAACCAATCAATGTTCACCTGTGTCTTTTCGGGTATTTTTATAAGTTTATATATGCAATTTTAAGATAACATAATGTGATTACGCTGAACATACAGTTGTACTGCTGTACAACTTTTAACTTGAGAAAAGAAAAATCATACTCTAGAATATCTTCTATATGAGCCCAACAGAGCTACTACATTCTTCATAATAATTTCAGAGTATTTCCCCATATGTCGACATATAATTTGTTCAGTTGCCTACTGATGAATCTTTAGGCTATTTCCATTTTATTACTGTAAACAATATTGTAGTAAATATATGTAAAATGAATTCCTAGAAGTAAAATTATGGGGCTAAAGGGTACATACATTTCATATTTAATAGGGGTAGCCAAATTGTCTTCCAAATAAGATTGCCCTATTTATGCACTCACAATAAATGTGTGAGTACATATTTCTCTGTATACATAATGACACTCAATATTTTTAATCTTTGGCTTTTCCCAATTTGATAGGTTAAAAATAGTTTTAATTTTCATTTATTCAATTATGAATGAGGTTGAGCACTTGTATTTTCTTTCCTATGATCTTCCTGTGGATAGATTTTGCCCACTCTCCTATAAGGATTTTAATATTTTTCTTTTTGATTTGTAGATATTTTCGGCATATTATGGAAATTAGCTCTTTATCATTGTTGTGAATATTTTCTTTGCATTGCCACTTGTCTTTTGCATTTGTTCACTGTATTTTCTAATAGGGTTTCTTTTTAACATTTAGTTTATTTTTCTACTGAAACTTAGCTTGTATGAATGAAAAAGTTACAATAGCTATATGAGTTTGATATTATGAAATGGTGGAGGAAAAAGATGTTAAGCCAGAAACTGAGCCAAGAAATTGTTTTATCATCATGTTTATACTATTACTCT